CACTGCCATCATCCACCATGACATACTAAAATGGCATTAGGAAGAATCACAACTTTAACTCTTTTGGGGCTTAGGACCTTTCCCCGTTTCAAATGACTCACAATGGAATCTGTCCACAGTAGTGACTGAGTTTCTTTTCCAGAGCAGTGATGTTTATATAAATAAGATAGGAGAGATGCCTTGATATAAAGAAAAAAGGAAAAAACAAAAAACATAAAAAAACAAAAGGCACGATGAAAACTAAAGAACTTGAAGATACATGAGTATAGATGTATGCTTTGTGACTTATCCTTAGATTGCTGTTATTTTTTTAACAGATCCCTTATTAAAAACAATATCAAAAATATTTTATATTCTTGGAGTATCAGCCTTCCCCTTCTTTCCACTGAATAAATTATTTTACTTTTCACCTTTAAGTGCATTATAAACTATTATAACGTTGATCTTTGCCATTCTCTGCAAAGTGCATAACATTAACAGTTGTACAAGACAAGCACACAATTTCTAATATGGCTAAATGCATGAATGTTTATCCATTCTACAAACTGCAGCAGTTGCTCAATTATCACCTTATTATTTTAAAAAAAGAATTGTTTTAGGTAAGATAAAAGGCCTAAAACGTAGCACAAGACAGCATGGCTCTCTAGTCACCAGCTGCTTGATTCAGTACATCAGCATTTAGAAATATTAATATGAACAAAAGTAGGCTAATGCCTTCAGTTCCTATTTTACCTTTAAAGCAAGGCTTAATACATCACTTCTCTAGGGGGTAAGGAAGGGTATAAGCTATGAATCACTGGAAAACATATTTATTAAAGAATGTTCATACTTTCTATGGGACACACTTATTACACCTTGTTTTCATAGTCTTGCACCATTCACATCCGGTATGACTTTACAGCCCTTTTCTTCACTCTAAATGTACCATCAGCATATCTTGGTAAAGGACAAAGTAGACAAGTGTTTTAAAGAGACTGCAGAAGATGGTAAAGAGTTGCCTCAAGTTAGAAAGTCAGCAGCCTCTAGATGGAGGTCAGAAGGGAGCAATAAGCAGAGTAAGAGAAAGGAAGAAGATCCTTCCAAGACCAACCAAGCTAGGATATTTATTTGTAAGAAGACAACAGAGAATCTAAAAATGATGTACTGAAATAATTTTATTTATCCCTATATGTATCACCACATTCTCTACATTTGCCAAACAAACATATTTTGCCACAGACATATCATTGTTATCACTTCAAAGAGGTAAAGAGGAAAATGGGCAACATCTATTTCATTTTTCAGCAATGAAACAAGTGTTTGATCTTCTGAGAAGTACCTAGATTATAGTAACTCTCCTCTTCTTATTTAACACAGCAAGATGGCAACAGTTTGTTAGAGATACAGTATGCCTGCCACATATATTTATTTCTTGGTAACTTTGTTTGCTTATTCAATAAAAATTATTTATTTCTGATAGAGGTACTTTGGGAATTCTTGAAACAGGTTGCACATTTGTGTAAACTTGCCCTACAGAAAGAGGGCTCTTGGAGTCATCCAATTCATATGCTTAATGAGGCTGTGGTAAATGAATAAGGTGAAGAGGAAAGCAGTTTGATTTTTTGCATTTAGCAAACTTTCACATTTGTGCTTTTGTGGGATTTGGGTTTGTTGATGTTGTGTTTTGGGGTTTTTTATAAACATTTGTCTGAAATGTTTCAGAACATGCCAGCGCTTGTAGTATTTTTCTGAAAGTATGGCTTAGGTTTTGGTCCCTGCATGACTTCCATTTTTCTGAGTTAATGCAGGCTATCCCACAGACACATCATATGGTTGCCTAAAGCACAGATGGGAAAAATATTCATCCCACAGAAGAGGAATCAGTTTTGGGTTTTTTTATTTTAGAAAATTGGAAACCAAGGATTTTATGTAATCATACAGATATCACATAGTAAGATCACTGAAAGAGTTGATTAAATTCATGTAATAATTATTCAAGGCAATACTTAGCTGAAACAACTTATGATTATCTTTTTCAGTCAAGAAATTAAACCTTAGTCATGTATCTCCTAGAACAATCACAAGAGCAACCCTGAACATAAAGTGGTGATGGATGAACTGTATTCACTACTGCTACAAAGAAGTATGGACATAGTACTGGAAACCCAGCTTAGTATATGCATTTTGTGGAAAGAAAAAAATCTCACCCTTAAAAGTAAAAAAAAAATTACCTTACTGGAGAAAATTCTGCTTCGGTGTTATTAAGGATATAAAGAACACAACTAATGCTTCCATATACCATGCTTTCATATGAAGGAGGCAAGTGAGACAGCTGCAGATGAACAAGTAAATGCACTTGTATCCAAATTTTAAATATATGTACATCTGTGCATGCAGAGGGAGGAAAGAGAGAAAGAGGTCACAAGGACCAAAGGGAAAAAAGCCAAACAAAGGGAAGGTCTGACAGAAATGATGTGAACAACAAAAATAGAGTAACTGAAAATGAAATTTTTTTATATTACAGGGTGAGGGAGAGATAGGGGAGAGATGAAAACACTGATGAAGGGGGAAAGAAGTGGGACACTTCATAGAATATCTGTGAGAAAAATGCAGGAGAGTGAAAAAAAATCCACAGGGTTGAGAGCATATGCAGGTATGAGAAGAAAAAAAAAAAAAGCACAGAGGCACAGTCTCTTAAAGATATAACTACTCAAAGAAAGCATAATGACAGCATGAGTAACAAAACAATAGAAAGAATGAGCCGTGTAATATAAAAATAGAAATAAGCTTAGAGAAGGAAGAGCTAGAAGAACTGGCACCCAGCTGCCCGCTGGGGCTGTGACGTGCCCTAGGCAGCCCTGCTGGTGAACAGGGAGATTATGTGAGGGACCCGATTGTACCAACTCTCCTCATAACACCTGTCAGCATGTTACCCAAGGCATGAAACAACTAAAGCCAGTTGTAGCTCCAGTCATTGTATTCACTGGCTAAAACACTAATGTGAGCTCTTCCCTGTTTGTGCTGTTTAACAGGTCAATATCTCCATATGTGAATTCCTTTTTACCACCTAATGCAGAGCTGGGATCCTGATTCCGTCAGGAGCCAACAAAACTTTTACCACAAACTGCAGTGGGAATAGAATACCAGTAAATCATATAATGAAGTGGTTTTACCTCTAGGTGCAGTCCAGAGGAGAATGCTACAATCTTCTCTTACCTAAAATTTCAGTGTGTTTCTTCTGTGACCCAGATATTTTTTGTAGCTCTCCTGAGACCAATATACCTTCTCAAGAGCAGTCTAAAAGCTATACTAGGATTTACATAAAATATGTTTAAATTACAATAAATGCTACCTCATATTTTATACCTGCTGTGCTCTGTGATTCTAATGATTATATACTGCTTTAAAAGGGTCAGCCATAATGACTACCTCACCCCCAGGAGCACTTCTGCCAGCAGTTCTGGTGTTCGCACTGAGACATTGGTCTGACTGTTCAGCTCCAATCTAACTAATCTAACTTTAAAAGACCTCCTCAAAGCAATTCTAAAAATCTGAGTACTATTTCCTTCACAGACACCAAGTGCCTTAGATGTAAATTACCTCGACTGCAATTGCAAGAGTTCAGCAGTTCTGGAAACCAGGTTCAGCTCCTTATTAGCTGATGAGTAACAGATTAATGTATTAAGGTGAGAGAGACAGGTTTTTGCTGTTCTCAGTAAAATGAGAAGCAGATAACAAATCAAACTACCTTCCTAGGACACACTGCTAATTGCACCTTGCTAGACATTAAGTACCAAAACTCCATACACTGATGTGACTTTAAGTGACACAGGAGCTGGACAAAATTATTAGTTATTATATATATAAAACTACTGAGAGTTTAGGGTATTCTACACATTGATTTACTGAACTGGAAAACTGGACTAAAAAAAAAAAAAAAGAACTGCTTTCTGAGTTATCAAGGAAAAGTCTTGAAAAATATTTCTTTCAAAAGTTGTACAGGAAACTGTGGGCTAGACATCTCTCCCAAGAACTATAACTACCTTGATAAAACCCTAGACAGCTTTTCCTTGAAGCCACACAGACAAAGGAAATGGGCTACTTCTGTGGAGAAAAGTGTTTAAGAAATAAAATTAACTTTCATTTGCCACACCAGTTCAAGTTCCCACGTTATCTAATGAAGTGACAATTCAAGTTGCAAAGAGCAACATCTCAAAACTGCTTGGCTAATTTTCAAAGTAACCTTGAGTGGAAAATGAAATGGTCAGTAAATAGACTGTGTATTTGCCAAGCTATGTGGAAAACAAACAGAAGAGTAACATTACACATTTTTGAACTATATGAGCTCAGAGGAGCAGTAGTACATTTTGCACTGCCATTAGTAGTACATGACACTGGTGAGTATGGCATGTTCTTAAGGAGCACTAGTAACTATCAGAACAAAATAAGCAGATTGCGACATGGTTATAATGCTTTAAAATGTCCTGGTAGACTCTCCTTGCTGTATCAGAAGTTATACACTTTCACAGGGTGTTGAAACACATTGGGGATTCATATATCAATGTTCATGTTACTATTTCTGTAATTATTTAGCCCTGTTATCTATAGGGATATAATGGCCAACAATCTGTGCAAGTGATGTTAGAAAGACAGAAAAAACCTTTTTTCTACCTTCCTAAAAATCAGTAACATACATTAGAGTCCAAGTGCCCATAACCACTGGCAGAGGAAATTACTGTAATCACTTCACAGTGCAGTACAAACATGGATGATATCTAATAGGCCAGCATTACGGAGGAAGGGGCAACATCTTTGGTTAACTAATTATCCATTCCCTCTTTTCAAGGATGGAGGAAAGAGTTGGACATAACCGTTCCTTCATCTGCTTTCCCCTCAAATAGTGCATTATCTCTTAGGACTTCAAGCCTAAAGAATTATAATAGCTCTCTGTAGTTGTTATTGTGCTTTTTTTTTTCCCCCATAAGATAATAATGACAGACCACATATAATACTGTTTTAAGGTGATGAAGACGCAGCTCAAGACCCAGCATTTAGAGAAGAAATCAGTAATAGATACACAGCTGTCGCAGAATGTAGTACAGGCTTACTGGGGCTCTGCCAATGAAACTGTTGGATTTGCTCCTGCCTATGTGTCTGGATTTACTTCCCACAACACACTACAAATGGCTGCAGATGTAGAGGAAATCGTAGTCTTACAGCAGAGCGCAGTGGTGGTAAGAGAGAGAGGAAAAAGAGAATGACAAGTTCTTGCAATCACTGAAATGTGTGAAGTTGCTGATGGTTTCTGATAGAACAAGTTCACTTTTACTGTCAAAAGACTTTTTCCTTTTCTACTCAAGAAAAAAAAGGCCAAGCAGGATTTAAGAGTCCAAATAAGCATGAAAACAATTAAGAGCTGACAATTCACAGCAGATGCAGTGCATGTGCTATGTAAGGATGTTTAAATCCAAGTTTTTCCTCAGCACACTACTGAACACAGAAGAAAACAAAACATAAAAGCCTTTGTCCTAGGGAACTCATAATACATGACTTTAAATGGAAAAAAAATAATTTTTTATTTATATATATATATATGCATGCTGTCTACTGCATAACTTCTTGCATTTGCCAGTGGAAATACCTGTGGCCTCATTAGGCCAGAGAGATGTAAAAGCTTATACTTTTACTAAACATACATTTTCAGACAGACATATTGTTTTCTCTATGATGAAAGACTGAACTTACAGGTGCAGTTAATGAATTTTCAAAATCTACACTCCTTTGTTTTGTTTGGAAGACTAGTTTAAAATGAGCCTCAAAAGCTTGACTGAGGTGCCCTTTCCTAGACAGGATTACTGTCCACCAGGGTTAACAAGGTTCTTGAAAACCTGTAAGTCATTGTAATATTGTTACTAATAGAATTGTTCTTGTTTTGTTTTTGAAACAGGAATGGAAACAAAGTGTCTCCTGTTTGTAGGATTGCCCTTCACAAGTGAAGGCTGTTTAGGTTTCAGCACACAGGTTTGTCTGTGCCCATCATGACATGAAATAGCCTAATTATTCTATTCCTTGTCCCTTCTTGAGCAAAACTACTACCGGTGAGAAAAAAAACTACAAAACTTTAGCCAGAACTCTAGAAGACATTCCAGTGCCCATTTCTCTTATGAAGCCAACAGTGACTGCCTAAAGCTCACATCTGCTTTCTACATGAAAAAATGGAGTCATGTCATTTTATCTCTACTGTTGCTATAGCTCTACTCATCCTACTCAAGCTTGTCCTAGCTTTACCCAAACTAACTCTCTAGTGAAAGAAATTTATCTACAACCGGTCTCAACAGCAGAACAGAGATGGTTGGTTGAGGTTGAACTTGATGAACGGCAGCACATGGAAAATAAGGAAGCACAGCTGATAAGGTCTTCTCCCACAGGCTCCTTGAGTGATATTCCTTAAAAGACAGGAACTATTAATCATGTCTCTGCACAGCATTAGACCAGGACTGATCCTTTTAAAAGCATGCAGGAAGTGAGTTTGCAAATAGCTTAAATACAGGTTTCTCAAAGTGCAGATTTTTCATTCAGATTCTCCAGAGTGGTTCTCAGAAGAGGTCCCTGTTTTTCTATGGTGCACTGGGTCAGCCATCTGTTAAAGGAGAGACTGTTCCCTCCTGTGAAACTGTGCCTTCACCCCTCTCTTCTGACTAATATGATTGTGTAAGCTCAGTAGCATGATACAGAGCAAAAATTCGTTAACCACATCACTGAAAGAAAGCAGTCTTATAGGACAGGAGAGATAAATACACAGAGATAGTAACAGAAATAGCTACTGCACTGCTTTCATTTCTGGTACATTTTTTTGCTCTTCTGGTACCTTTTTTGCTCAGTCTCAGGCTTTGAGAAACACTTGTCTCTGAGCATGTGGTGTGAATCTGACATGCAGTCTGGGCCCTGCGCTGTACACATGCTACATCTGCATCTCCACAGGTGCGTGATTCACATCCCTGGGTCTGAGCTCTTTTTTGCTCCGTCTGGGGAAGATGCAGTGACAATCAGCGATAGTCACTGCAGTAACAGAGATCAGCAAACCACTACTTATATCTTTTCCATGCTGTCTAACACTCCACAGAAACCCTCCATCTCTTAAATAATTTGTAATCCAAGACAGTCAGATGGTTAGACAGAATCTCCTTGAAGCCTTTTGCTTTTCAGTCATAGATTAGTACATTCTTCCTTGAAAAACTAGTTTGTGATTTTCCTGCACAGAACTCAGTGAATGTGATCTTCATTGACATATAATGAGCATTTCACTACTCTCATCATGTTGAGTCAATTCCAAGTAAATTTAAATAAACTTATGTGGTTACCTCCATAAAAGTCCTAAGAAAATACTCATAGCCTTGTTACATACCAGCTTTACATCTGTCATCTCTTGTTTTCCCTTTTTTTTTTTTTTTTAATCATTTAACCTACTCTTCTCCCAGGTCATCTTGCTTTTGCATTCTTTATTCTTATTCTATTCCTTTTTATTCCAGTATCATTTTGATTTTATTGCCAGAGGGCAAGAACTGACAGTGGTAGCACAGAGAAAGCATTCAAGTTTTGGAAAACAGAGGGGAATGAAGAAATCCCTCAAATACGTAATGACAGACTTCATTCATATTCTGGAATATCAGGGACCTTGAATGAATGGTAATTGCATTATTTTTAAATTTACAAAGAAATAAAACAGTTTCCAGCCTTGAATCATTTGTCATAACTGAAAATATCCTGCCTTTCAAGCAAGAAAGGTAACTATGCAAGTGCTTTTTTTGCAGGTCTGACAGTGAAGTTGTTAGATAATAATGGAAAATTATCGTATTATTTACGGAATTATGATCTGTAAATGCCATTTCTTTTCAAAACTGTATTAAAATAAAAGTTGGTGATAAAACATTAACGAAAATAATGTAAAGCTTTCATACAGACTCAATATTCCATTCATATCACATTATGGACATACAGTTATCATATCAAGTTCTGATACTTCACAAAATTGACAGGCCTGGCTGGATATGCATGTAACTTAACAAGCGACTACCATGAATAAAAATATATAAAAAGAGCTAAGACCTAGACTTTAGATACACAGCTTCTTCATATTGACATTTGGAAGGTGTTAAAATATTATGAAAAGATATTGTTCTATGGAGGCCCAATATAGCATCAAGCAAGCACAATGGGATCAATTAAGTTTTGTTGGACTGACTAGACTTTCAGTTTTTGGTTGCGAGGCTTGAGAACAGGTGGTATGAGACTTAGGGGATTCATTTGTGTTCAATAGCACTGCTTTTTATGTCCTTACCTTATGGACTTGCCAGCACCTTGTAAACTTCTTTTACTCTCATACAAGCACAGAGGGAATGAATGTCATCTCTTATTTACTGCAAATATCTATTTTGCCATTAGGAAGAATAAACAGTACCACACTTCACAAATTCAAATCAATCAACACCCATGTTTGTTCTGATAAGAGTAACAGACACAGAACATGCGTTATGTCAGCAATCATTTCTTAAATACAGTTCCAGCACGGTATATGAACCCAGGCACAGAAAGTAGGTCTACATGGCACAGTGCAGAAAAATGGGGAGTACTAGCCCCAGTGCAACACCTTGCTGATGTAGCCATTTTTTTTTCATTACCCAGGCCATCTCTTTTCCAAAGTGTGTGACTAGTGCTGAACAAAATGAAGCAGCCAAAATACAGAACTGAACTGCAACTCCTCAACATTCAAATTTTGGACCAGATTTGTTTTTATTTTGGTTCATCCTTTTTGAAAAGAGACATATGAAAATTTTAAGCATCATAAATACAACTTGTGTGCATGCTATACAGGTTAGCATCATATTGTTTTAAACGGAGAATTATACTGAATGTTAATGTGCTCCAAAAATACTCAAGTTGAGGATCTAATGTATTCATGTCACAAAGCAAAAGTTTGATGCTAATTGAACTTTAGTCCTAGGCTGAATCAGAATCTACTTTATAGAGCAGAAACCTTGTTAAGCACAAATACAATTCCTCTTATGTCAATAGACATTTCATTTCCACTAAAAATTAAAATAAAATTGTTTATCAGTTTCTAAGTACTTATTCAATCTTATTTTTAAACAGTTTTATTTAAAACCTGTAAGCCTATTACCTAGGTTTGTTCCCTTTAATTGTGCCCTCTGTGATCCACTGTTAACTATTTATCTTGAAACACTCTGAAAGTCCACATTGTCCACTGTAGCAAATCTATTAGCAAGGTACTAGATGTATTTAGAATTTAGTTCCAAAGACACATCCAATGGCATTAACAATGTACTCTTAACAGAGAAAAGTAATGCATTGACAATAATGGAATATATTAAATCCCTGAACATTATGCAACATACCACAGAGTAAAAATGCAAGTAGAGCAAGTAATTCTTTAGTTACCAGTATCCTCAAGTATCCTCATTCTTGTAGTTATGAGCTGGTGATCCAGCAACACAGAGAAGCAAGTTGATGTTACTTGAGTGTCAAGAATTGATGAAACTGAATTAAAATTAAGAACTACAGAAATGCTGAAGATGCTTTAATGAATACAAAATTACTTCGGTAATAGTATCCGCTATTCTAAAAACATGAGGGCTGAAGAACTCTCATCAGGTTGTATATGAGTGCTGTGCTATGGTGATGAAACATTAGGCCTTGTTCATTTAAAGGAACTGGTATGGTTTTCACTTTTTGGTTTCTGGAAAAAACAGGAGTTGGTAGATGACAATAAGGTATTTTTTCCCCTCATGCTATTTTGTTTACTAATTCAGAAGAAACCCCCCTCAGTTCAGTGTACTTCCACTCAACTTATGCTCAAGTGAAATTTCTTTGTTGCAGAAGTATCATCTTGGTACAACACAGATCCAGGAATACCATATTTGAGAGTAACACACTCGAGTCGAGTATTCCTGTTCATTTTCAATACCACAATTTAAATTTACAAGGTCAAATAGGTCAATAGTGAAAGACAAGTTCTCCTCACAGCAGTCAAAATCTTGGCTTTTGATTTGATTGAAGAGTTTTCAGTCTAAAACTAAATTGCATGCATTTTCAGATTTCAGACTTCTCTTTTCCCTCATACATATCCAATTTTATCTTGCAAATACAATTCTTACATACTTCTCAGTTCTCACCTTCTTTATGAAACATTCACTCACTAGGATTACAAGGAAAAGTGCATTTTGAAATGAGGTATAGAAAAAGAACTGTTGGGCACTAGGTAGCTATAGAAACTATTGAAAGTACTAAGTTGACCAATTCTTTACATGTCTCCACCCTCAAGTGGTTTTGTGGTATATAAAGCAAAAATGGCATCTGTATAGAACAAGAAACATCTCCAACATCTGTATAAAGGTATATCTCCCATCACCTGTATAAATTTCATGGGCATTTCCTATGGGAAGTCCTCATCCATTCTATTTGCTCAAGTTTGGCTGCCTTCAGCAGTCAGCTCACACTTGATATGTCTATAAACCAAATATTGTTTAAATTAAGCTTCTAACATTCATAGATATTCATATTTTTCTTTTTTCCTTTTGTTGATCTTTCACTGGGATTCAGTTCCCCATTACATGAATTATTCTGAGCTCTGGCTCATATTTTCCAAATATCAAAGGAAAACAATAGTAGTTAGACTACTCCTAACTACTGATCATCGCTCTCCCTTGCAGACCTCCTCTGACCCTCCTATGTATAAAGGATGAGAACATTATAGTAGAATAACAGAAGCAGTCACTGTAGTGGGTAACCCGTGCTAAGAGAATTACATTTGATTTAGCATGACTGAGTTGAGATATAGTTATAATTGCTTTAACCTAAATTATCCTTAAAATATAAATACCTAGGTAAAGCCTAGGCAGAATGGAACTCCCCAGAGAGTCTGTGTACACGGTAAAACTACAGGGCATTCCGTGTATGTCCACAGGACACTACTACACAATTCCCGCATGATACAGGGAGAGCTCAAGAGCTGTCACGCTGCAAGAGAGCTGCAGTGGCAGGACAGTAGTCTGGCCTGTGGATGGGACAGCATCAGCCCCAAAGAGCAGCCTTCATAAGCAAAGCTTCACCACACACTGCAATTCAGCTCACACTTCTGTAATTTTGTAGATATGCAGTAAGTTTCTCCTCTGCAGAATATAAAGCACGTGCAATCTCTCTGTTAAAGACTTCTGAACAGCAAGGGACCTGCATACTCTGATTCTTTTCTTCAGTCTTCTTACTTTGTAATCTTATTTTAGAGGGGTTTTTTTTACTGTAGTGTCTCTCTAAGATGATATGGGATATTAAAGCATATGTGGTATATAAACTGTACATGCTATTGCCAATGACATAAAGAGTATGAGAAGCATTTCATGAAATACTCCAATTTACATTGCAAGGGCTCTGTTGCAGCTTTGTAAACATTAAAGTATAATTGAAGGGACATAAGGCACCACAACTGCAAATGTCAGTCATTCAGCTACTTCAGCCACATTTAGTGGTATTAGAATATCTCCACAGTTCTCCTGTATGATAGTTCTGCAGTTCATGTTGTTTAAAATGACTGTTTATTGTGAAAACTCCTTTATTATTTGCTTGCCATAGTCAAGTCTGATAAAGCTATTCTGCAAAACGCCCAAATTGAAATATAATGTTGTATTTGAGAAAAAAAAATGTCACATACAATGTTCCATGGAATTCTTTGCTTTCTTACCCATACTTTTGCCCTGTTTCTTCCTAAATCTGTAATGTCCCAGTGACAAAAAAAGACCAAAAGTATAGGTTACAACTTCCAGGGGATCTTTTGCACTGGTATACTGAAATACATAATTTAATCTATTGGCCACATGATAAAGCAATGAGACAATTTTCAGAGGCATTAAACTAGTTTACAATAAAAATTAATTTTGTGGTCAGGTATTTGTATTCATCCTTGCTTTGTAAATCCTTCATGCCAAACTGTCTCGCTTACTTCTGTACAATTATTTATGGAGGAAGAATTTTCAGTATAAACAAAGTGAACAGAATGTGATGATCCAAGTGTTACTTTTTGAACTCACAGTTGTGTATTCATAAAGGGCTCAAGTTCATATCAAATTTTCATTCCTGATTGCTTGTGGTGTTCTCTCTAAGACATGCTATTAAGATAGACTTCACTTTGTCAGTATACCCCTAGAGTATGGGCACGAAACGGTAAAAAACCCTTTCTTTTTTAAAATTACATGAAATAGCAAATTAAATTAGGACACAAGATTAAAAGATAAACATTCAGAAGAGTCTGATGAAAATCCTCATTAAGTAATTTATGAAGATTTATGAGGAAAGCTTTCAGGGATACTTCTTCCCTCCCCTGCCCCAGAGCATACATAAGTAAATACAATTACATCATATAATAACATCTGAGAAGAAATCTCATCCCTTGAAAATTACTTCAATTTATACAGAGTACTATGTCTCTGCTATAAGAGATCAGTCACTAAGAGATGTTAAACAATGCACATAATATCAGACACAGATTGACAGTCAGTATAAGCACAAAATGGTTCATGTAATATTGAACAAACTATATAAACATGATTTCTTTAAAAAAATTGAAACAGGAAAAAATAGAAAGAGAACTCCTGTTTACTGTAGATAAACA